CTGAACATGGACTACAGCTGCAAATTGGTTAATCTGTTGGTGTGCTATGAAGTCATTATGTTTGTTCAGTTTTTGGATTTTGACCAAAGTAGCAATGTGCAGCCAACTTAGAGAGGAAAAGTTCATGGTAGCTAATTTTAGGCATCTAATTTAGATGTTCTGGATCTCTTTGCATTCTCCATTACCTAACCAGAGAGCCCGGATGTTGATACTGGTGTCCATTAGAAATACCTAGTATGAATCCTTTGTGGGACTAAATTAGTTTGCAGACCTAAGCTTGCTGTCATCTCGGAATCCTAACAAATGTTGGTCTCTGTCATCCCGTCTCCCTCTGCCCCCTGTATAACTGGCCCAGGAGGCTTTGGAGGGTATAGACCTTTAACAGAATTATGACAGCAGTTGTGTGACATAGGGAGGTTAATATTCAGCAGGGATGTTAAAAGGCTTAGGGCATTTATACTGAATTTTGAAACTTCTGTCTAGGCTTAAAGGATAGTCTCCTGAGTCACTGAGGATTGTTTCCACTACATTATTGTAACGATGGATATTTGTAGCCTTCTGTTGTGTTGGGAGGGTGTTTACTACCCATGGAAGCGCTTAGTGCTTTTAAGTTTGGGGATTCTACAAAACCATAATTTAGTTGCCAGCAATTTCCCCACACACACACTCCTTTTAGTATACTAGCTTTGAAAACAGCTAGGAGTTTCCTACTCTGTATGTAGACCATAACTAAGTTAGAACTCCTTTCCAAAAGTGAAGCTAAACATTAATTTTTCATGTCTGGAAAGAAACAAATATTGCCAGACTAATACCTTACTCTAAACCCATAGGTCTTGCTGCTCTCTGTAGTTTACAGGAGGAACGCTTACATGGCTGCTTCCAGACAGAGGGTCCTAGCCACACTGGAACAAAAACGGAAGGAAAGTTGTCCACACCTCTCAGTTTCAGGAAAGTCATAATCACAAAGGTGCCGTGCATGTGAGGAGCCTGCATTACGGTGCTGTATGTGAGCCAGGGTCAGGAGAGTTTGTCTTTCCTCACCTTTCTGGACGGTTCATTGTGAGTTATTTTGCTAGTATGAAGAAAAGGCTGAAATAGTCCCCTGGGAAATAAACCTGGTGCTTGTACATATAAGAGAAAGATACAACATATAAGAGAAAAGCTTTAAACATACCAAAGTTAATATGATGATTAAGAACTTGCAAAGACTTGTTTGAAGGGGTTTTTTTTTTTTCCTAAAAGTTTTAAGCTGACTTGGAAGTAAAGAGCAAATGTAGGTGAGTAAAGTATGTTGAGCAAAACCTAGAGTGATTGGTTTGGAATTAATTTTGTGGTTTCCTCTAATTTCATAATTATTTTTTTACCTGCTTTGAGATAGTATAGTGCTGAGGATACTGGATGGAATTATTCTGGGGATCGATATGCTTCAATTAAACATGCTTATAGGGAAAACTGGTTTTAATTCATACTTTTATACAAGAAGAAAGTTTTAGTGCTGTTAAAAACATTAAAAAGTTGATTCATCATATTCCAAATGTTTTAACTGAGAAAATATTTGAAGAAACTTTCTATACCTGTTTTCCTGAACTCCCCCATTCACTCGCCTATTTCCATATAGCGTGTTGGCCATAGATTTTTACCTACTGCTTCAGTGCTGATTTAAAACTTCAATTGCTTTTTTCCAGTTGGTAGTCAATTAGGAAAGAGAGGCATTCTCCACTGGCACAATCCTTTTACCTACACGTGTTGTTTACCCTCTTCTCCCTGTACTTTTTGTTTAAAACCCTAGAATTCAGGTAAGTAGTGTCTGTGTTTTAGCATGTTTCCACAGTTCTTAACATAAAGGACCCCAAGATTATGTTTGGCTAGATTGCACTGCCAGTAAATAATAGCTGTGTCAGACAAATGATGTTGACTTCACATGCATGTTAAAGCAAAAGTGATGCACAGCGTATTTTGAGCAAATAATTCAGTAGATACTTTGATAGTGTATGTGGGAGAAGTTAATAATATCTTTTTCCATTTCTGAAACTAAATGGAAAAGTGTTTTTTGTGACTTTACTTGAAATAATTGCATATGTTAAGGAGTCATTTATTTCTACTAGGATGTTTACTGGTGTAAACAAAAGGGTAAAAACTGATCCATGCTAGAATGGCTTTCAGATTTTTGTGGTAGTGGAATATTAGTTTTGCTACCGATAAACCTTTGTAACTCAAGGGCTACTTAGTGTTTGAGTACTGAGAAGGTCATAAAATTACTCTATCGAGTCACTTCACTACTTAGCTCATCTGTTCGTTTCTTTTTTCCTTAGTTTACTAATTTCCCATGGTGTCTCTTGAAATGCCTGGGGTTTTTTCCTGTGTATAATTGAGTGATACTGGGATGTAGGAATCTTTTTTTATTCTAGCACTATTGCCAGTCTTGGAGTAGAATTTAATTAAGATTGCATCTCCAGCTAGTTCACTAGCTGTCTCATTTTAGTACAAAACTCTTTGCTTATGCCATGATATTTGGTATTTGTAACTATAAAACCTCTTAGCCACCCATTTGTAATGGCTTATAATTTATACATTCACACAATTTAGGCATGTATTTGGCACAAAGCAAACCTGTAATTGTGGAAATAATTAGCATGGATCAGTATTAAAGCCCAACAGCAATATTAGCCACATACAGAGATTTCTTTTTTTTTTTTACATTGAATCTCAATTCTCATACATCTTGTTTTCCCCATGATTGTCAGGCAGGAGGAATGAGTTGGCTTGAAAATATTTTCACGATTACCATGTACATATGTTAGATTGTTACAAAAGGGCCTTATTTAAGTTTCTTAAGAAAGAAAAAAAGTTCCAAATTCCCAAGACGCTTTACACGGACCAGCTCATGTGCTTTCTGTGTATGGAATAATTTGTTGCCTATCTGAGGCCCTAAGCAGGGTATGAGACCTTAATTATATCAGAGAAATGTGGCAAGCTTTGGAAAAGTGAAATCATGTATCAGCATTACAGGTAGACAAACTTTTTCTTATCTGTGACAGAAAGTATATTTAAGAATTTATTAAAATGACATACAAGGTTCCTTGTATGTTCTTTTGACTTGTGTAGGGTAAAAAGCTTGAACAGGATTCACTGGGAAATGGGTGAGCTAGGAACGGGTCTCATTATAGCCATCTAAACCCTTTGTCCATCGTCGCTTGAGTCCCTTTATTTATAGTGTAGGAAGGACGAGTATTGATATACTGATAATCTGATTTCTGTGTATGGACAATCTGAGTTTTCCATAGCCTCTCAAAGAGAGGAACAGAGGTCCTATTCTCACACGAGTTGACAGATCTTGTGTCGTCGTTTCAACTTAGGCACTTGTCTTCTTGTTTAACACCGAGCTTCAGTGAAATGTTATTGCTGTGCACAGTGTGTAAGTGTAGTATTGACAAAGTGGATCTTTATGGTAAGTGGAAATATGTAGTTTTTCTATTTATATGTTTTGATTGAACACACATTGCACCTGTGCAATGACAGGTGAGGATCACTACAGACACTAGCTAGAAACTAGCAGTACAATTAATTTTAAGAAGTAGATCAGCTGAGGAGAGAGTGGTGTTTTCAGTATGGAGTATGAGCAGCAAGCATGTGGGTTTTGTTTTTATGAGTGGGTCTGTTCAGGATTTGGGATTAGCCATTGTCCCGTTCTTCACCAAAATGGAATCTTTTCATAATCTTTTAAAGAAAGGTAAATATAAAGCCAGAGGTGTCCAGAAGCAGGTTAGTAGTGTGGTTTTGAAGGCTGGGATAGAAAGTTGTTGGGGTTTTTTTAATACATTTTTTTAATCAAAGGTGGCAATTCATGATTTTTATACTGGGAAAAAACTTGTTTCAAGGGCATCTGTTAATAAATATGAAATATGAATTATATATTGGGAAAACTGATTAGACTTCCTAATCACCTTCCTCATAAGAGTGGGGGATTATTGAAAAGAATTTAGAAGATACCACATCAAAATCAATACAGGAAAGTAGTTTTCATCTAGTCTCCAATTGCAAACTCTGAAACTAATTGCTATCATATACTTCAAATCTTACAATATTTATACCTGCATAATATAATGAAATATTTGCATGGCTAGCAAGCAACAGTATGGATAAATGTTTACTTACAATTTTATGCAGAGTGGTTTGTTGGTTTTGTTACCATATGCCTAAAACCTGTGACAGACATTTATAGCCCCTTATCTCTGCCCCTTGGTTAGAGATTGTTTAATGGCAATTATTTCTTTATTGCCACCTCCAAAGATTAACTGTGGTGTGCAGTGGTGAACAAATACTGGTTGTTCTCAAGGTTCAGTCCCAAGGGCACTTAAGCCAGTTTAAACTGGAGATCCTGCAATCTTTTCCGTTGCTCTCCTGTTCCTTCAGCTGCCATCATCCTTGCCTCTCGTTTGTTGTATACGTGCTGATGCTTCTGCACAGAGTTGGTTCAGGAAGCTCAACTGGAAGAATTGTCTGTCTGGTTTTCCCTTTGGCAAAGCGGGGACGCCCAGTTCAGGTTCCTGAACTAACTTGGTGAACGCTCAGAGCTCGGGGAAAGGCAGCTGTGCCTCCACCTCCCCTTGATCAGTGCAGCTGCAGTACTACCGCAGATGAACCACTTTTGATACGATGCTTGCTTTTGGAAGCTCCGTGCAGGCATATCTCCGTTATGTATTTCAGCATTTACTGTCTACAGGTAGAATGCATAGTTGGGATTCTTAAAACAATATCCCTTCACTTTTATGATTGAAGGCCTTCTGAAGCTTAAAAAACTGAGAAATGAGGAAGTGTTTCAGATTGCAAATTTTGTTAGGCTTTGAAACATGGCTTAATTTCTGGATACTGGTGATGTAAATCAAGAAGTCGTGTCATTGCATTAATACAAGTTGTAATTTTGTTTTGTGTTCAAGTCTTGAAACATATTGATTTGCTTTACACATTACAGTGCTATTTTATTTCTGTTTTGTTTACAGCTGATATTATTTCAACAGTTGAATTTAATTACTCTGGTGATCTTCTTGCAACAGGAGACAAAGGTGGCAGAGTGGTTATATTTCAAAGGGAACAAGAGGTCAGTGACTCAAAAAACAAAAGTGCCATTACCACACTGTTCTTGTGTTGCACAGTCTAACTTCGTCTTTTCATGCCATGAGGTTTAAATGATTGGATAGTTTTCTCAGAAAACCCTAAGTTACCCCAATTTCTAAATACATGCCTTGTGGTAAGCTGGGTGGGTTAGTTTGGTGGTGGTTCCTCTCCTCCCCTTCAAAATTAAAAAAAAAAAAAAAAAGGTCCCAAAAGTGCAAGTGTGTTCTTTATGTGTGCACCTAGTGTGCTCAGTGTTATTTTGCAGAATTGCCTTTGGACTTTCTCCTAAACTTTACACTTTGTAGGTTGATCTAAGACAAATCACAATGCATTTGGAGATAATGTAAGAAAAGTTTATTAAAAAAAAGATACAAGTTAAGTTGCAGGATAAGGCAACAGGATAAGACGCTTCAAAAATCGAAGGATTAAGTATCTGATGTGTTTTAGGATCCTATGACTCAAACAGTGGGAAGAGCTACTTCTCCAGAAACACTTGAGTATTTTCAGTTCAGAGGGTAGGAAGGCTCTCCCTCCTACAGTTACACAGCTTTTCAGCTGGCTCTTTGCAACGGTACTCAGTTGTGTGACAATGCTATAACATATTCTGTTCATTCATCAATGCAGATACATCACTGAGCTTTTTATATCCAGAGAAGTAGTGTGTAGTGGGAACGTGCACTAAATGCTGAAAAATAATTATCATGCCTGGTCATGTCTGGGAGAAATCAGGAATTGTGTTCTTCAAAAAGTCCATATTCTGCATGGCAACTCTCACTCTCTCCCCTGCCACCAAAGCGCATGTTTACCCTTTCCTTTGAAGAGCTGATGAGAATTTGAGCCGCCTTCTGGATCAGAAATACCAAAATTGACTGTGGAACTTTAATTCAGCTTGTTTGTGCATGAAGTATACTGATCTCGAGGTGCAAAATCCCACTTCCTTCATTGTGTGGTTCAAATGATGCTCAGTTAACAAACAGCTATCCAATATGTTGCATTTCATCCTGACTGTGATATTATTTATAAAACACTTTACCAAAGGTGACTTACTGGTTTTACTGTGAGGATTTTGAGAGGTAGTGAAATGAAAATACTGTTGCTGAAAAAGCTGCTGAAATATTATACTACTACACCTAGGCAGCTCATAGCTCATTTATCATTTAGTCTGCTGTATAGACTTAACTAAGGCACAGAGAGGTCAAGGTCAAAAGCATCCACCTACTCGGGAACTCTGACTTTCTTGGCCCTTCTTTAGAGAGGCACTATCACTGCTTGGCTTTCAGCTCTTAATGCTCAGTTGTTCTACCAGTCAAAACCCGACTGCCATGGCATTTCCTCATAGTAAAAAAAAAACCCAAACCAAAAAAACAAACAACAAAACAAACCCCAAAACCAAAACCCCACACCAAAACAAAAAAAACCCCAGAACCCAAGTCAGACTATTCACACAGGAATATTCAACTGTCGTCTTGGGAGCACGTGCAGACTGTAGGGGGGAGTTGGGCATAACAGTCATTTCTCTTGTCGTGCAAAACTGCACAGTTTCTGGAGGTGAGGAAAAAATTAAAAATAAGTGTATAGGACTGGAACCTTAATAAAATCTTACAGCAAATATTTTTAAACAGTGTAGATTTTAGACTAGGTTAACTAGGTTAATAACAACTTAGGATAGTTCTAAAATTTCCCATACACATTAATTTGGGAAGGCAGGCTGAAATGTTGTGCATCAGTCCCCGAACTCATACGACATTATTTCAGTTCCAAGCAGCTGATTATTCCAACCAGATGTGTGAGTAGAGAGTGAGACAACTGCCTAGTGCCAGAAGAGGCAGGTTGCTCAAAAAGAAAGTGGCTAGATAAGTAATGTAGATAACTATACTGAATAGAATCATAGAATATCCTGAGTTGGAAGGGACCCATAAGGATTATCGAGTCCAACTCCTGGCTCCACAGAGGACCAGCTGAATCAGAGCATATGACTGAGAGCATTATCCAGACACTTCTTGAACTCGGTCAAGCTTGATCGAATAGCCTTATTTGAGAGAGTCCTGTCCAAAATGCTTGGAAGTTCAATGAGAAGTACGGAGTAAAAAAAATGCAAAGTCTAACTAAAACGCCATACTTGTGAGACATCACAGGGAAAAAGCCTGGCTGAAACAACCTCATTGAAGTTGCCAAGTCAGACGTGGAAGTGTAAGGAAGCACCAGGACAAAGGTTGCCTTCGCAGCCCTAGGTTGGCCTGGTAGCCTGCAGCAATGTGAGTCAGGACAGGTTTTTCCACGGTAAGGTACCGTCAGTCAGTGCACAGGGTAGGCTTTCCTTCCACTGACTCCTGCTGGCCTTTGCAAGCGACTCACTGCTTCTCGAGTGGTTTCAGTCGGTTTTGGGGAGCTTGTTTTTTTCAGAAGTTCTAGGCACTGCAGCTCTACAAGTGGGGCTGTTCTCCAAACATGTTAACTACCTTAACATTAACTTACTTGAAAAGCCTGATAGCTAGTTGCCTCAAATCTGATGTTGCAAATTTGTGGATGCTTGTGACTTTGGTCTCTGCTCCTTGCTACTGCATCTACCAAATGAGGGTAATACAAAGCGGCCTTCTAGTTTTGTCAGGGGAAAAGTTGTTAGTGTGTTTGTAATGGTCTTTGGTACGTCACGATGAGGGCTATAGAATGGCTTAGAAGAAAATGGGATAAGTCCAGCCTTCAAGTTTTTATAATAAAAAAGGTTGTCAAAGCTTTATTATAGCCCTTGATAGCACTTCTGGACACAGCTTGTTTTAAAATGAGTAGGAGAGGAGCTAGATCTAGCACTCATACTTGATCTTGCTGTGCCTTCAGCAGAATGGCTTTGTGCAATCATGTTTTTATAAAAAAACATACATAATTAGTCCATGTCCTATGTCCTTTGGCATTTATTCCCTAGTATGGAAACCCTGTATTATGTCTGTATTGTGGTGATGAGAGGAATGAGTTTTGGAAAAGGATGGGAATGGAGATTAGGTGAAGTGCAGAGACTAGTCCCATGCTACTGGTAGTTTAGGACGTAGCTAACTTCTCTGCTGCAATCCTGGTGAAACCGCTTGGAAGAGGTAGCGTAGCCTAGAACTCTTCCAAGCAAAGACAGGAACTCTGCCGACAGCATGCCTCTTTCAGGTGCTTTCCATGCTATGTTCTGTGAGTACACACATAGATATAACGATATGTTTTTTCACAGGAAGTCTATGTGCACTATAATTGATGCTGCTGTACTGTAGGTACTGTATCATAGAGTAAAAATGTAAATTAATCACAATCTTGTGAAAAGTTTACTTTCTGATTAACTATTTCTAGTCATTAGTTTGTATGTATAATTCCTAATGAACCAAGTAACATCAGCTTCAAGAAATATTCTGTTTCCTTGCAGAATAAAAGCCGTCCACATTCTAGGGGAGAGTATAATGTTTACAGTACCTTTCAGAGTCACGAACCTGAGTTTGACTACTTGAAAAGTCTAGAAATTGAGGAAAAAATTAATAAAATTAGGTGGTTACCGCAACAGAATGCTGCTCATTTCCTGCTGTCTACAAATGGTAAGGATGCTTTATTTTTGCACAGAGTACTTTTTATGTCATTTGAATATTATCTCACCTGTGATCCACTTGTGGGTTTTTGGTCTTTTTTTCTGGAGTGTCTTGGGGTTATTTTAATGTCTTCTGTAATTATATGCAAAATATGTTTTGATTGTAATACTCTGTAAATTACTGGTTTATGAATGTAAAAATACTGAAGCAGCAACAGAATAGGCATAGTTAGAGCTCTGTTCTGTGGATATACTGACTGTGCTATCAGTTTACATTCCCTATTACTCTGCTTTACAGTTTTTGTATAAATGGGTTCCCAGTATGCTGAACTGAAGTAGAAATCAGAATTTGACTTGATCATCCTAATTTTGAAATTGACTTTTTTGTGACCCCAGATGAATTCTTAATAAAAGCATTTGAAATTGAAACCCTGTGGTTACAATGCTCTTTTTGCTTTTCCAATACCAAAGCATCGTGTGTGCTTTGAAAAGCAACTCTTTACAAGTCACTCTAGGAGTATTTTTATACCATTTTCACTGTGTACCTTAGAATACATAAAAGCAGTACAAAAATTACAAGTTGGAAATTACAAGTTTTCATGCACTTTTGGTTTTTTATTTCTTCCAGAATTTTAGTCGTGTTTATTAGGCATTAGGTCTGTTTTGGTTTGATGCATCACAGAGCAAGCTGTAAATGTAAATGCAGAGCTGTGCATGGAAAAACTTGCTCTTGCTGTTGGAGGAATACGCCTCCTCTAACAGTTTGGATCACTTTTTGCCTTGTATTTAAATGACTTTATGTAAGGACTGATATCCTGCTATATGAAATTTTAAAAGCAGGAATTACTTCTGTCTACTGGACTTGGAAATCAAAATCATCTTTCTTTGATAGAAATTTTACTAAACTTAAAGCAGTCTTTAGATTGTATCATCTTAAAAGCTTGAAAGATATGCAGTAGTTTGGGGAGAAGAGGTTTGTTTTCAGTTGGCGAAGGATCTCACTCTGGTGCATGTGGAAAGACTTCCCCAGTCAGACTTGGGGAGTACGTGCTACGTGCCTTTGGACATGAACCCTAAAGTAACAGGGCAAGTCCTGGTCTCACTTACTGTCTCCTAGCAGACACCTGGGACAAACTTGCATTTCCTTAGGATAGTTAGTGCACATAATTCATGGATTTGGGTTTATTCCCTAGCATTTGGCTGTTAAAAATAATGTAGATAGTCATGCAGAGCTTATCGGTGAATTTTGGTAATTGGTGTGTGAAACTTCCCTTGGTGAAGGGTCATTTTGGTGAAGGGTGGGCGTAGGGCCTTGATGTTCAGGCAGAAGCTTGTCTCCTACTCAAATTGAACATTACATTGGAGTTAAAATGAAATCAATTTTTTTTTTCCCATCAATTTACTGATATTTTCATGCGTTTCCCACCTGCATCCTCCAAGTGTGTGTGTCTGATATATTTTTGTTTGTTTTTCATGTATCAATTCTGCTACACAATACAGCTGAAGGCAAAGTACTTCAAGTGTGTGTAG